AGGTGGGGGAGACGAGAGTGGGGGACCAGGGAGTGGTTAAAGTGCTGCCGCCGCTGCTCAGCACCTACTGAGGAGGAACCAAAAGCATTTGCATGCTGCAAAGGCAGCACAACCAGTTTGTGCACCAAACCCTCCGGGGCCGACGCTGGTGAGGCCTCGCTGCACCTTTACAGCAAACCCTGTTGGGTTTACAGAGGAGGTGTTATTAAAAACCAACCACCCCAAAGCCAGCAAGGCCTGAGTTTTGTAGAGCGAGGCAAAATGAAAGCGATCAGACAGCAAGATGGCTTTCTCTGCTCCGAGTTCAGCTCTCTTCACCCCACCAGGGATCTCTAGGTCAGCTTGAGATGTTTCTGGTAGCCCGGCCCAGCCACAAACAGTTTTACTCAAGTTTAAGCTGCTGCTCTGTCCCGGGTGAGGTTTGGTTTCCAGGTTGCTGCCTGCAGCCCTGCCGATACCCCGGAGAGCCGGACGCAATGGCCCACGCGTGGCCAGCTTCCACCCCAACCACGTTTCACCAGCCACCAGCTCCACCGTGTTTCTGCCCAGCGTGACCAACTTAACAGCACTGAAGGCACAGGCAGGACCAGCTTGTGCTGCAGACAGCCAGAATCCGTCTTAAGAGTTTTAACACTTAAACAGGCAAGAAAGAAGTAAAGCATCCCCCCGGCACAGCGCTGGGATGGCAGCCTGTCCCTGGGTCTGCAGCACAGGGATCCCAGCCACGATCGGTCCATCTTCCAGCATCCCAGCGGACCCTGTAGCTGAAGACACCCAACCACAACACCTCCAACCATCTCCTACAGCGAAACGCTTATCGGTGCTCCCCTGGTTTCCAGCATGAGCATCAGGTTACAGCAAGTTCCTCCCCTCTAGGTCTCGAGTTGCTCAGGTGGAAAATTCAACGCTGAGCAGCCCCAGCACATTTAATCCACCCTTTGTCTGTAAATGGATCAGAGAATGGGGCACACCTGGACACAGGCAAAATACAACCACCACCCTGGAAACCAGGGCCGGGAGAAAGGCTGAGTCCATCCACTTCGAATTGGAGGGACGTAAGACAACATGAGCTCCGAGCTTGCGGCTTTTCCTTTGCATGCCTTTGTATTAATTGAAAAGTACCAAATGCAAAATAAATTTATACCCTCAGAACCATATCATGGAATTATGTTACGGACGCATGACCTGGTGAGGATTAAAAACCCACAACATGAATGGCACTTGAAATAAAACCTCTCCTGCCCTCTATTACAGCGGTTATGCAGCATTAAGTGACAACTGGAACATAAAGACCTCAGCAGGAAGGATTATTCTCTAGAAACAAAGCGCCACAGCTGCAGGCAACTGTGGGGGAAAGGACAGGTTTGTTCCAGGGGCGACTACTGGCTTCGCCAAGAGCCATCCCCCACCATGCTCTAAAAAAAAAACACAGACCTTTTTCTTAAGTAGCACTAATACCTGCTTTGGGTCAGACTCGGCTAATCTGGGAATGGCAGGTATCGGAGGCCCTCGCAGAGGACCCGCACCAAAGGACAGAGGCACCTTTAAGAGCCTAGAAACAAGGAGGACCTGGCACCGTGCTTCAAGGAAGATGTGGAGCAACGGGCAAAGGTCCAGAGGAGAAAAGTCTAGAGTAGGTGACCTAGGAGAAATGTAGCAGAGGCCAAAATTGTTCAGTGGGGAGAAGATTGATGGGAAAATAACCCAGCCAGCCAGAGAGGGACGCTGCAGAGAAGGGAAGATGGTGCCACCACCTCCTCGGCTGAGCTAAAAAGCAGCTTCGGGCTCCAGTAATGAAGGGGAGACGAAGCCTGGCTGTGGGAAACCCTCACTGGGAAAAGCCCTGCAGCAGGCTGCAGAGCCTCCGGTGCCGGCAGAGTTTGCAGGACACTTCCACAAGAGTCTTCCAGGGATGGGTGGGACATACCGCCCTTCTCCAAACCTCTCCCTCCAGCCCCACCCTCTACAGCTCGTATGTCAGATCTGTGCCCACCTGCAAAGGCACCAGCCCAACGCTGCAGCTTTTCCTCCCTACAGCTCTTCCAGACAGAGTTTCTTCCATTTCTCCTGCTCTTCAACAGCCTCTGGGCACAGATCAGAAACAGCCAACTTCTCCACAAACCTTCTTCTCCACCCTCCGCTCCTCTCCTCCTCCAGGACCGACCCCTGGGCCCAGCTGATTCGAGTCCATCTGCAGCAGGCAACATCCATGTTCATACACCACCCCCCGTTTGCAGCACATAGAAACACTACCTTAGCAATACAGGACAGCTGAAGAAATGTTGTGTTTTACCCTGGGCTGGGCTGTATCTGGCTTTTTTTAATAAAAAGATCAGAAAGAGACGCACGGCCAAACACTGGATGGGTCTGCAGGCCAAGGCCAACGCAAGACCAGACACTGCAGGCAGCACTCAATAAGGAGCTTTGGGCACAGCCCTCCTTAATCCAGACAAACGACTTGCTGCTTTTACATTCGAGTTTTGCAATTTTTTGCACAGAGAGAAACAAGAGTTTCTCATGAGGTGCAGCAGAAGCAGGTTCCTGACCCACAGCTTGATGGCATGGACACTGGCGGCAGAGACACAACAGCCTAAAGGGAATAAAGCAACTCCCAGATGAGCACACATGAAATTTTACTGCTGTAAAATCTCTAGTATGAGAAAGTCTGGGGAACAAGCTAAGGGCTGATCCCAGCACAACACAATTCAGACATCTGTGGGTTTCTGGACCAAGCAGCTTGTAGATTTAAGTATCTTAAAGTAGGTTAAAGTAGTGAAATCCAGAATTCGCTGAATTTACACTGGACCCTCCTGGCTCCACCAGCACCTGGCCAGCTCCAGGGCAGCTGCTTTTTGCAGGGGATTGCTGGTTTCAAGCGGGAGGCAGTAACAGTCAGCACTTAAAATAACACAGGACCAGGAAGCTGGCAGGGGATATTTGGAGGCCAGGAAAGTTCTTCCAGGGCCTCAAGTATCCCTGTCACTGTGCACCCTTTAAACTGCTTGACCAGCCTCTGGACCAAAACCCGTTTCAAACATTGCCAAGAGAAACTCTGCAGCACTGCTTTCATCCATCATTTATGTAAAGCTCCAGTTTCCATTATTCAAGAAGCTGCAGCCAGCGTGAGCAGAGACCTCGGCGTGTCCTGCTCTCCATCAGCTGGTTGTTTTCCACCGAGCAGCCGATGGGCAGAGACATGAAAGATTCATTTATCCGTCGGCAAATGCCGCGACCCTGGCTCCCAGCTGGGTTTTCGCCCAAGAACTGTGGGGAGCAGGACAGGGTGGTTTTATCTTAAAGCCAGCCCAGATGGTTGCTGCTTCACACCTCCAAAACATCCTTGAAATCCTTATCCAAAGGAGCCTTCCCCAAATCTGGCAGACAGGCAGGAGATCACGCCGCCCCTTCCAACAATTTACAACCCAGTGCGGAGCGGAGGGAAAGGGGGAATCTCAAGCAAGGCAGGAAAGCCAAGAAATGCTCCACCGTTACGAAAACAGTCACGAGATCTCGAATGTCTAGACGGAGCCGCGGGGAAGTCGGCTTTCACAGTCTCATCCACACGAGGCAGAGGGATGACCCAGAAAAGGAGCTGCGTGGAGCCTGGCTGACCTGCCCGGGTGCCGGGCGAACGGCTGCCGGAGCCCCGCTGGGACCGGACCTTTGGTACTGTGGTTTTACGAGCCATTTCCGAGCCTGCCGAGCCATCCCCACTGGAGAGGTGAACCACCTCCCTGGGGGAGCGTTTCAACTTGGTGAGTTCTGGAAAAGGCATCGCTTTTCTCCAACACTGCTCATAAAATCTGCATTTAGCACCAGCTCACCTCTTCCATCCTCCTCTCCCACCCAGCATCCCCACCTCAGCCCTGCGTTTCTCACCATCTCAGGCTGATGCTCATGCTAAAAACCATCAACCCTTCAAAACAAAGCAGAAAAATAAAAAATTTCTGTTTCCAGCTCTTTCCCCCCAGCCTTGCATCCCCACTACCAATGATGCTGCTCGTCCTTTTGCTCCATAAGTCTGTGTCAGCAGATGTGTGAAATGAATAATCTGCATTTTCTTTGGGAGAAATCCCGCTCAAGCAAAAACACTCACTCTCCAGCAAGCACCGACAAAGCAGCTCAGCACCAAAGCCAAAGCAACTTTGTGCTGATAACTTTTTGACACTTAAAAGCAAATGCCACGAAGCCCACGGGAGCTATTTGGGTTTGGAAGACACGCAACGCGCATATGCCCAAATTCACCTATTTAACTGCCGTTTGCTTTGGCATTAAATCACATTAGCGCCCAACCCTGGAAACTGGAAGCAGCCCCTGCGCACAGCTCAGCCCCTCCGGCAGGGAAAGCCCAGCTTTCCACTGTCTGGGAGCTGTGAAAAAATGACAGAGACCCAAAGCACCGCTCGGTACGGGGCAGCAGCCACGGACAAACCCCACTGCTGCAGCTCTTGGCCCTACAGCCAGGAGGGTGCACGCACCAGGGGCTCGTTTTGGCCAGGACACCTGCACGGCGGAGCTGATGGGTTGATCTCCTCCTGCTCCCAGCTCTCAGCTGCCCAGGGCCTTTTCTGCCTGCAAATAAACCTCACGGTTGCTAAATCCGGACAAGTCAGGACAAGGAGGAAATCAGGATTCCAACAGCGATCAGATGGCTGCAGGTTGCAAAACACAGCGACCGGCCGAGTTGCCCGAACCGTGTGGGAATTGAGCAGTGTTGGAAGCGACTCAGGCCTCCCAACCCAGCTTTCCACCTTACCTTGAAGCCAATACCCTCCGTCCCCCTCACACCCTCTGGAGCCCCAGCACCCCCCAGACCGACCCACCAGCGTGTGTCAGTTTGCTTAGAGACACAGGAATCAGAACGTCAACCATTTGCAGCAACCAGGACAAAAAAACTCTGCGGCAAAGGAGGAGCCACAAGATGAGAATCAACCGCACAAGCACGGCCCCGGGGGCATCCCATCCCGGGCAGGCTGAGCCTTGGAGAGCCCCCACATTACCTCTTCCTCGCTTTCGACTTTGGGATTGCTGGCTGTGCGCTTCAGATTGCTGCTCAGGCTGATGGTGACGGTGGCGTCCGACTTGGACCTCTGGTGAGTCCTTTTGGAAGGAGACAGCCCCATATCGGGCGCTGGGCTCAGCGATGGCAGCTCCCTCTTCTTGTAAGCTGGCTTCAACTCGTCCGAGAGGATGAGTTTCCGCAGCTTGGTCCCGCGGGAGTGTCGCTGAGTGGAGATGTGCATGTCTGAGGAGTAGGCACCCAGCAGCAGGGCACACTGCAGGGAGAAGTTGATGCTCTGCCGGCAGCGGTGCACGATGTAGGGCTTGATCGCATCTCCCACGTCCTCGTCCATGTGAATGTACATGTTCAGCAGCTGTGGCAGGTAGAAGTCCACTTCTTCGTTCCTAAAGCAGAACAACCTATTCCCAATGTAAGCCTGCACACCAGGTTCCTTTGAATTGTACAAGTACGAAATGGCCATGGAGATATCAAAGAGTTTGGACTCAAAGAGCCGGAGGAGCCAGGACTGCTTTGCAGAGTTATTCTTCTGCCGTTTCCGGGCGGTTTTCACCGTGTTGGCCGTGGTCTCGTCCTCCTCCTGGATCTTAGAGGCCGTGCCAGGCGGATCGTCCAAGCACTTGATTTCACAGCCCTCCCCAATGTCTCCATTGGCCAAATCCACCGCTGGCCGTGGCGCTCGCTCTGCCTCGCTGCCATCAGCCGCTTTTAAGCTGTTGGAGGAGACGCCGTGCATCAACTTGACCTTCTCCAGGACCTCTTCGCAGGCTTTCTTCGCCACTTCGGGATCGATGACTGCCAGCTCCCCGACGCCTTCCGTGATGACGCTGAGAGACGTCCCGCCATTCCCCTGGGGCGCTGAGCCAGGCGCCTGCTCCAAGCCTGTCCCTCGAGCTGGTTCTGCAACAGAGTCTCCCATAGCAGTGGCGGGTCTGCACGCTTCAAAGCTGAAAAGAAAACAAGACAAAAAAAAAAAAAAAAAAAAAAGAAGTCAAGGACCCAACCTGCGAAGGAGACCTGCTTCCAGCCTGAAGGTGGGAAAACAAGAATCCATGCTGGGATATACCTCAAGGGAAACCGAGAGCCGAGATGAGGTTCGGTGCAAACCTTTTTGAAAAGCCTTTGTCTAGAGAGGGATGGTGTCCCAAGTCAACGCACGCAACGCAAGCCAGCCCAGCACAACGCTGAGCTGGTCACGCTGGGCTTTAGAGGTCGTCTTGGTGCCTCTTCCACTCAAGACTTGAAAGAGAGCTGTAAGCATCTATCAGCCATTACACAAAATTTCCCTGTTACCATGACGATAAATAAAATTGAGCAAGCCAAAAAGAGAAAGAGGAAAAAAAAATTAACCAGGTTGCTTTATGGTCTCCACCCCAAAGGCATTCTGCAACACGGGGGCTTAGCGGGCCACCAGTGGCTCTGCTTCTTGCTACAGAAGATGAAGTTTATCTCCCGTGCTCGGCTTTTGCTCATTTAACCTGCCCTTGGGACGGAGGGCGACAGAGGTACGCGGTGCTTTGATGGTGAAATCCCCCGCTGGTGCCAGGCGATGGGTGAGCAAGAACCGAGTTTGCTGCAACAAGGTCCCTGTTTTCAAAGTCCAGACACTACTGCCCAGATTACAAACCCTCACCAATGATTAGCACTTAATTATGTCTTAAAAATAAGATAAATGAGGGATTGAGCACACTTCCCAGTTTCCCATCTCGATAAAAAGAGCAGCAGTGCATCTCTATAGATAACCAGCAAGAATAAAGAAGGCCAGTGCCAAGTGAAATCGTCCTCTAAAAATAAAATAAGGCACTCTATTCAATCTAACATCATTACTGCGGCTCTGACTGCTTCCCTTTATTGCTCATACGCTACAAGAAGACAGCTCGTGATCAGCAGAAGGGCACAATGCCTTTTACAAATGTTAAGCACTGCAAGCAGATTGCCAATTCCCTCCTGCTTTTCACGTCCAGCACGGTGGAAAAAATTACTGTCTTTGGAAAAGAAGTTCACTGAACCATTTTCTGCCTGTCTGTTCCCCCAACGACCCCAGCCCCTGTTTTGCCCACAGAGGCTGAGCTGGCAGGTTCTTGCAACGAGGTATTTCCCTGTTAATTTAATGACCTTGTTTTCTGTTTATTTTTACAAGTGACTACCGCTCTCGATGTGGGAGAAAGGGGTGAGGAAACCCACGGCGTTTCTTTCTAAATATTCCAAGCGAGTGAAAACGAGGTCGGTGTGTCCAGATGCAAGCACTGCTTCCCAGAGACTGGTTTCCTCCCTCTTGTTTTCAAAGCACTTAAGTTCTAACTCCGAGGTGAAGAAAGCCTGACCAAAGTTCAGCAGTCTGAACCGACATGAATAGCATCTTTCACCCCGTCCACATGGCAGCAACGCACAACGTTTCCCTCTGTGCTTGCCATTCCCTTTGGTCCAAATCCCGCATGCTTCAAATATTTGTGGTCATTAGCTCCTAAAGACCCTGCGAGCTGAAGGAAGTTGGTTTTCCTTCTTAGTGAGCCCAGCCTTGCCCCAGGAAAGCCTAGACAACCTAATTTTTAAATTAACACGACACTGGCAAAAAGGAGATCCTTCAGTGTAACTCAGCAAGGTGGGATTTGAAAGAGGCACAGGGAGGACCTGGGTCCAAGGAAGAGTTGCAGAGAGCTCTGCTCGTGCCAGCACTTCTGGGGCCCTTCAAGCATTTGCATCAAGACAACTGGGATGACAAATTCAGGAAAAATAAAAAAAAATTGGTGACATCTGCCGGAGTCCCAAACGCGGCTCCATGGCCACACACTGGGTGCAGGAGTCCCAGCCATCCCGGGCAGCTCGGTTGGAAGCAAAGGGCTTCCCGAGCCCCGACTGGTGTCTCCAACGCAAGGAAACACTTTCAACACCCTCCTCACCGGGCTGTAGAGGGAGAAAAAGGGTGTAGGATCCCATTAGACCTCCCTCCCCGTAAACACAGGGCATGCGGGTGAAGCCTGGAGCAGCGTGACAGCGCACGCTGCAATTCTTGGGCATTAAACCCCCTCCACGCCCGTGGGAGAGGCTGCACCCGACCTGACCTACTCACGCAAGGTATCGCGCTGCCTCCGAGGCGCCCGCGCCGCAGCCACCACGAGCAGAGCCGCTCCCGCCGCCGGCCCAACGCCCCGCTGCTGTGGGCACCTTCACGCGGCCGGCGAGGCCCGGAGCGGCCCCACGCCGGAGAGGAGCTCGCAACTGCTGAGTGGGTTAAACTCGGATTAAGGAACTGCGCAAGATAAATCCACCCACGGGCCTGCAGGGTTACCTCCGCACCGCAGGCACGGCTTTGAAATCCATGCATTGCCTTTTTTTTTTTTTTTAAATCAGCACATTGCTTTTTTAGATTATTATTATTATTTTGCTCTTCAGCCCCGCCCCCCCAACACTTACACAGCCACCTTCTTGCGTGACGTCCCGGCAACGGGGCTGTTCGGAGCCCACCAAGGACACATCTCCACTCCTAGCACTCCCTAAAATCCCAGTGAGGGAGTTCACCCCCCGCCTCCCGCACCTCCCCGCATTTTTCCGTGATCCACATCATCATTTGTTAAACATATCACAACGCACTATTTACCTCTCGAGGCTCAGCATAACTCCCCTATTCCAAATCGCTGGTCTCAACAGGGATAAAAACCCCATCAGCTGCACACAATGAAGCAATCCAGTCTGGAAAACAGGCTGAGCTGAATTCATGTGGTTCATCCTCCACCCACAGCCATAACGGGCCAAGTTTCTCTCTGGTGGAACGGCCCTGAAGTCGGTGATTAAATACAAAATAAAGGGAAGCCCCTATTAGCACAGAAACTACCGATGAAGCAGCCACACGTCAGTGCAGCGATTCAAAAACACAGTTCCTTCAGGAAGGGACAAAAGCAGAGGGAGATCTACAGGAACAGAGCTGGGGCTTTACAGGAAAAAAAAGAAAAGTCTTGCTCCTGCCTGACTTGAATAAGAAATATTAGCCCTGGCAAACAACCAGGAGGACAGGATGAAGCCTCACCAAGACATCTGGTCTCTATTACACTGCATTACTTTTTGTTTTGCTCAGCACTGACAGCCTTCGACATCTTGCTGTGCCTTCGGGAAGGCCACAGGAGTCGGGATGGGGGCAGAAAACATCACAGCAGCGCTGGAGGCCGGAGGAGGACGTACTGTCAGTGCCCCTCACCATGCTAAGGGGAGAGCCCCTGCTCCTCGGAGAGCCCCTCCAGACCCGCTGCAAACAGAATGACTCAGTGCAGCTTATTAGGTGATAGCTTAGAGGCTGGGGAAACTGAGGCACAAAGGGACTGACTCAGCTCGCGTGGGGGAGGTGGGCAGTGTCCTGCGAGCACCACTGAAGTGAGGACAAATAATTCTTCCCGGGGGATGCTGCACCCTCTTTCAAGTCTGAAATCCCCTTCCAGGAGAGCCTCAGCAACCACACGGATGGGCTCCCACCCATTTTTCATGTTTGGCTGAAGCAGATTCAACCTTTCAACCTCTGCACAGCACAAGGGTCTCCCTCTGCTTTAAAAAAAAAAATAAAAAAAAATGCCAGGTTCCAGACATCCCCTGAGCATGAACTGCCCATAACCCTCCCCTGCTGCACAAGGGCACTGCTGGGGGACTTTTCTCCCACAGAGCAGCACCGCTTCCATTTCAAAGGACGCACAACACAGAGCAAATAGCAGAAGGAAAGCAAAAAAGGTGAATTTTCAGAGAAAAAGGCAACAGGAGGCCCTGAGCCATAGACTGAGCAATTGCCAGCACCACAGACAGACAGGACAGGCTCCTCCATCCAATGCAACCGCCCTGTGTCGGGCTGGGGCAGCCTTTACTTGGATCAACAGCACAAGCGCAGCTCCTCTCTGCTGAATCGGCGCCTCAAACTCGGATGTCAAAGCCCTGACACGCTGGACTGGCCGTTTTCTTAACAAAACGGCTGTGATGAGCAACGCTCTGCTGGAACAAACAGCATCAGCCAAAGCATCCGCCGCGGGCAGCGTGAACTCGCTCACGCCTTGGCTCCGCACCGCACAGATCCCAGAACCCAGCCCGGTGCCGGGGCTCACAGGGTGGGATGTGGGCGCGCTCTGCGCCGGCTCGGCCTCACCCAGATGCTCTCGCTGGGAGCACCCCACATCCCGCTGCCGAGCTGGGTTTGGCCGAGCCGGTGCGTCCAGAGCAGCAATAACCCTGGGCCTCGCACAGGCACGACGGCTCGCCCCGGAATTTGGAATAAAACAAAAGCCACTCCACGAGGAAGGCAGCAGGGGAATGACAAACCACACAACACATTAAAAAACGGCTCCCAATGCTCCTCAGCCTCTTGGCTCCCTTAGATGCCACTAACTCCGTACTACAAATGTCCATCCACATCAGACTTTTTATAATTTGTCTCTGTGGCATCTTTCCTGGGAAGTTGTTCTGCCTCCCGCACTGAGGAGCAACAATCCCCACACTGCAGAGGGGATGGAGGCGCAGGGAAGAGGGAAAGTCACAGCCTGCCAACCCCCAAACCGCACCGCAAGTGCTTCCTTCATTCCTTGATACAGCCCCACAGGAAGAAGTTAAATCCAGTGATTATTGATTAACTTCCCCATTTAAAACAAATAATTGTGAGAGCACTAAAATCTCTCTCACCTCTGAGCAATGCTGACAAGTGCCCCAGCCCTTTGGGAAGGTTTCTCTTGCTGCAACAGGCGTGGATTCGGTGAGGAAGCCCTTCACAAACCCACTCCACACATACCACAGCTGTGGCTCGTCACACGTTACTCACAGAAACACATCCAACCTTTTGTCCTCTTCCCTCACACCTCTCCGCCCCTGATGAGCATTAATTACCATCCCTGAGCAAGCAAGGGCAAACCCTTCCATCCCAGCAACTTGTTTCCGAGCTCACCAAACCCTTAAGCAAGCTGTGCTGGCACAGCCACCATGGGAAGTTTCCTCCTCCCAGTGATCACAAGGTACTTTGCGCCTGAACGCTCCCACAGTCGTTTATATATGTAAATTCACTATTTTAAGTTGCTGTTGTTATCTGCAGTCATGTCTGAGTCTTTCTCTAAAGCGTGACTTTAAATGAGCTGTCTAGATGTGACAGAAAACGGAAGGAGAACAGGCAGGAGCCACATCCCTGGCTCGGGCTCCGAGAGCTGCCGATCCGCGCACAGACCCTCAACTGCGTGATGACAAATCGCCTGGGATTTAAGAAGCACACAACCACGGCACAGACTGAAATCCCACTCAAATTCAAGCAAGAAGTCAGAGACTATTATCTCTGCCGAGCAGAGACTGCAGCGGAGCCCCAGGCCCTGGGCTGACTCTGCAGGAGCAGACCCCTTGACGTTCATACAAATCAAGAGCAGCCTCCAATTCGCACCGAGAGCGATGAAGTTCCCAAGGGGAGTTAAAAACCTCAGAGGTGCTGAAAAGCCTCTGCTCTTCCAGCCCACGCTGAGTGGGACGGCAGCAGCGCTGAGTGCAAGAGCTGGAAACCAGCACTTCCACCCAGATCTGCACCCAGTTACTTCCCCTCACTGCTTCGTAAAGTTTCACCACGGGTTAAAGAGAAGTTGGGGATGACAGAGGGAGTGATTAAATATTACTGTTATTATTTATAATGCCTAAAGCCACTAGCAACTTGGAGCAGAAGTTTCAGGGGGATAAAAAAAAAAAGCATCGAGGGATTACTGACCCCCAGCAAACAGCGTATGTTGAAGAACCGCTGCTCAGCAGCCCACCAACCGAGCACATTACATAATACCTCCGGTCTTTAAGTAGGTATTTTAGGCAATTACAAAGCGTGAGGGGCACCAGATGGCTCGGGGGGGTTGGCAAAGCCTAGTCAGAAATGACAGCGTAACGGCATGAGGAAAATCAGCGGAAAGAGTCTCCACACGGGTCTCTGCGACGCTGATCCTGCCGCGTCCCCCAGGCGGGCCGCGCTGCGGGGCCAGCACGGAAGGCAGAGGCCGGTGTGCACCCGCGGGGCCCGGGGCTGGCGGAGCTTGTCCCCCGTGTCCCCGGGAAGGCCGCGGCCGGGCAGCGGTACCTGGTGCGATCCCATCCCCCGCGGCCGCGTCTCCGGGCCGGGATGCCGACACACGGGGCAGCGCAGGCGGCTCATCCTGGGCAGCGGCTCCGCGGACGATCGGCTGCTGAGGGAGGAAGGAGAAAAAAACCGAACAAAATAAATAAAAAAAAAAAAAAAAAGAGGAAAAGATGACTTTCCTGCGCGACGGGGCGCTCTCGACCCGCAAAGCCGCCGGTGCTGGCGAGCCCGGGGGGGCGGCGGAGGCCCCGGGCAGCCCCAGGGGCCCAGCCCGGGAGGAGGCGGCGGCTCCCGGTGAGGGGCTTGGGCCGGCGACTGACCCCCCCCGACCCGAGCGGCCGCAAAACCGGCCCGAGAGGCGCCACTCGCTCGCCGGGGGGGTCGGTAGGTGCCGGGAAAGGCCGCGGGGGACCCAGCGCCTGGCGGTGCGGGCGCGGCGCTCACCGGAGCGGGGCCTGGGCGGAGCGGCGGGCGCAGGCCCGGGCTGCCCGCGGCGCTTGCCTGACGGGACTGAGCGACGGGAAGGGCCTGCTCGCCCGCGAGCGCCCCCTGCCGGCCCGGCGGCGCAGGGGCGTGGCGTGATCGGAGGGGCGTGGCCTGAAGTGGGCGGAGCGTGGCGAGAGGCGTGGCCTCGACGCGACCGCCCGTGGGGTCTGCGGCCAAAACGCCTTCTTTATTTCTCTTTCCCTTTCCTTTTTTTAATTTTTCCCGTTGTTAATCGCTTCTGCCGGCGCAGGCTCCGCCGGGGCGGTCACACCGGGAGCGATCTCCGCGCCGGTCCCGCCACCGCCGCCTGCTCCCCCGCCAGGGAAACTGAGGCACGGCCTTGCGTCCACGTCCCCGCCCCGTGTCCCCTGCCCACGGCCACCCACCAACACCCGCTACGGCTGTTTGATGCCACCCGCGGCTTCACCACGCCAGGAGTGCCCCTCCGCGGGGCCCCACGCCCACGCGGGGTGGCAGAGCCCCAGCCCCAGCCCCGCCCACAGACAGGACAGACGGACAGATGGAGCGGATGGTTTTTAATGCCGGGAGGCGGGGGCGTGTGGGGACACAGCAGCAGGACCCGTCCCTGCCAGCATCTGTCCCTCAGGGGGTGTGTGGGGGGGGTCCCCGCCATCCCGAGAGGGACAGGAGCCCCCCGCAGCCCCCGCGTCACCCAGGGGGGACCCTGCCTCGCCCAGGCTCTGCTGCGCCGCCGCCGCCCCCTCCTCCAGTGCCAGCTCGCCACCGTCAGTGACTCCGGCCCCCGTCCTGCCATCCTGGATGACACTGACCTGGGCGGGCAGGGACCCCCTGGGGGGGCTGCCCCCGAGGGGGCCGGTGGCACCGCCACCACCATCAGCCCCCGCTGACAGCCCCCCCGGGGACCCCGCGCCCCCTTCCTCCGGCCTCTTCCGCGGCCGTCCGCGTCTCCGCTTCTGTGGGACGGCATCGCCGGCCGGCTCCAGGGGACGTTTGGTGGCCTTGGGGCGCAGGGAGTCCTGGAGGCCAGGCCCCTCGCCGCTGCCCCCCACGCTCCGGGGGTTGGCGGGGCTCTCGGCCGGGGGGACGCCCACGCCAGGGAGCAGCACGTTGAGGACGGGGACGGCGGCTTGCTGGCTCAGCAGCCCCGCCGGCCCGTTGGCCCCCGGGGCCAGCCCCAGAGGCAGGGAGGGGGAGGCCGTGCCCACCGGCAGCGGCAGGGCCACCTTGACGGTGCCCCCCAGGGGGGCGGCCGTGATTTTGGGTGCCAGGACAGGAGGGGAGGAGCGGACGGAGGCGGGACCGGGCGCCGTCGGTCGCTCCCCCGCCGGGATGCGGGGCAGGAGCAGGGGCAGGCGGGCGACCAGGGCGTTCACCTGGGGGCTGCTGGCCGTTTTGGGGGGCTCCGGGGGCTTCTTCTTCTCGGGCCGGGGCGGGCCAGGGGGCTTAGGGCCGCTCTCCTTCTTGATCTGCAGGCAGAGGCACTGGCAGGGGGGACACCGCAGCAGCGCGGGGCTGCTTCCCCGAACATGTGCCCCCCAGGGTGAGTGGGGGGCCCGGCTCCCCACCCGGCTCCAGTGGGGTCTCACCTGCCCCTGGCTCCTGTCGCTGCTCTCGGAGGCGTCCAGGCCGTTCTTCTTCACCGTCGCCGGGGTCCGACTCTCACGGTGGATTTTCTCTGTGCTCTCTGGGGGTGCACAGAAGGCGACGATGGGGGGACAATCCCCCTGGGCTCCTCGGCGGCTCAGCCACACCGTGGGCCATTGGAAGGGGACCCTGTGTCCTGGGGGACCCTGTGTCCCAAACTCCCTGTGCCCCTCGGGGGTCCGAGTGAGCCCCATGGGGGGGTGAGCGGGGCCGGGGCTCCATCCCACCCACCTGAGACCACCATGGCCATGACCAGGTCGGCGCGGGCCGAGCGGGAGCTGATGATGTGCTGCTGGATGAGGAACTGGGCCACCTCCACGATGTTGTTGAAGGAGCGCTTGAGGATCTTCTCGGCCCAGTCGCAGGTCAGGGCGCAGGCCGCCTCCATCACCTCGCTGTTGTAGGACTGCACCAGGTCCGTCAGCTCCGACTGCTGTCGGCGGGACGAGCCGTGAGCCCCCACGGCCCCACACGAGACGTCCCGGATGCCAACAGGGCCTGACCCTGGCAGCCCAGCACGTCACGAGCCTGCACGGGCAGGCAGGTCCCCATCCACCCCTGGGGAGGCTCGCGGGACAGCGCAGAAGCTGCTCCCGGAGAGGGCATCCCTCCACCCGCAGCCTTCGTTAGATCTAACGAGCGAGGAGGTTCATCACCCCGCCAAAAGGCCAGGGAAACCCAAGCCACGAAGGCAGCAGGGGACTTACGGTCTCCGTCACTTTGAGGTCCAGGCTGGGCAGGGGCGGCAGGCTGACCACCGTCTTCCTCCGGATCCCGCTGTAGCAGTATGTTTGGCAGGGTTAAGGAGTTTCGCTGTCACGCGAACACGGTGGTGGCAGGTCACAGCTCGAGGGGCTGGGGCGGCGGGGCTCGCGGTGGGCTCGTCCCGGAGGCGTGAGAGCAGCCGGCCCCACGCCCAGCCAGGATACCCCTTCTTGGGGCGATCCCTGCCCCCCGTGAGCTACCCCCAGGCTGCCCCGAGTGTACGGCAACGACGGGGCAACTCCAAACCCCTCTCAGACAACCGAGCTGAACCGCCACGAGCCAGAAAAGCAGGAACCAGACCCTCTCAGAAGCTACAAAATACCGCCTCGTCCACAGACTTAGGAAAAACTGGAGAAGCAGCAGCTCTCGCCATCAGTCCCAGCAGCTCCCCGGGCTTGCCTGGCCAGCCGGGCGCACGCAAGGATATTTTGATTGTCCTCGGCCTCCCAGCCGTCGGGCTTTGATGTTTGGGAAGATCTCCCGGATGATCTTGCCAAAGTTGGCGGCGCTCAGCGGGCGACAGCAGAGGTTATCGCAGTATCGCCTGCCGGGGAGAGCCGCGGGTTACAGCCGCCGAGCCCTTCTCGCTGCCCTCCGGACGCGCCGGCTCCTCCCCACCGACGCGGCTCATTTCAGGGACCCAGGGTTGGGCCGGGCCATTCCCAAACTATCCCAGGCACTCGCTGCCCTCCGAACCGACCTCCCCGCCGGGCTTCGGCAGACAAACCCGGCCCCACGGAAGGATGCTCCTCGCGCCAGGCCAGCCCCTGCGCTCACTTGTAGGCGTCGTAGACGTCCTGCTTGGGCAGGCAGGTGTCCGTGTGCTCTTCCAGGTGGTTCCGGATCCAGTTGCACGCGTGCATGTACTCGGCCGTGCTCAGCGAGCTCAGGTCCAGGCTACCGCTGCTCCCGCGGGAGCGCGACACAAACATTGGATTAGCAGAGAAGCGGCACAAGCAGGACAGGAGGAGGCAGAGCTGTGACAATCTCCCCCCGGCCTCTCGCGATCCATGTTCCCACCATCGTCCTCACAGCCCCTGCTCTCCCAGCCACGGCCCCGGCTCGCTCCAGCACCCACCTCTTCTCCCCCAGGCTCGGTCCCGACGGCAGCTGGAGGTAGAGGTAGAGCTTGTCGCTGTCTGAAAACTTCTGGACATCTTGCTATGGTCAAAGGGTCCACAGGGAGTGGGAGGACGGACCAGAGACAAAGAAAGGTTAAGGATCCAAAATAAGGAAAAGCTGATGCAGGCGGCGCTCGCGCTGCCCTCTCAAGGGCAGTAACTGATGGGGCACTGAAACCAGAGCGGCTTTGCCAGCACAAACGCAGCCACATGCGAGGGACCCGCGTAAATGAAGTCCCAGGAGCTGTCCCTCGAGGGGACTGGAAAGGGTTGTCCCACCCAGGGCTGGGGGGGCAGGGTGACCCGGGGCTTCTGGGGCTAATCCCCGCAGGCAGATCCTGACCCCATGGGGAAGAGGATCAAGCAAAACCTGGGGTTCAGTTCAGCTAGGAGAGGGGAGCTGGAGACGCGTCGTTCCCTCACCCTCAGCACAAGGTGCCGCCGAGGCACTCACCAGGATGGAGTCGACTTTGCTCTGCACGGATTTGCTGCGCGGGACAGAGACAACAGGCATTAGCGCAGAGGAGCAGGGTGACCCCGCAGCGCCCGGGGCACCCCTCAACCTGCCTGGCTCTGCCACAGCCGCCGCCCAGGGCTCCCGCCCTGTCCTCGGGACCCCCCCGCGCCCCACACGCGAGCGGCGATGCCAAGACGGGGGCACTGGAGCACCAAGAGCCGACGGCCGCCTGCACCCACGGCTCGGCGTAGCCCGTTCTCCCCACGCACCGGCTCTCCCTGCGCACCCACAACCCCGCTCCAACCCCAGGGAGAGCAGAGCAGGCGTAAAACCACGTCCCATGGGATCACAGCAGACCAGTCTGCGCTACTGGGAAGCCCTGAATTGATTCTGCACCCAGAAGAGGCAGGGGCTGCGCTCTGGGTGCAGTGCCAAGCACAGGACCGAGCAGGACAGGCCTGAGGCCGCTCCTCAGCACCAAAGCTGCGAGGCACCACAACGCTTATCCCTTCAGTCCCTGGGGCTGCAAATTAATGGACCTTATTAAATTAACCCACGTTTGGTAACGCTCAGATTAACTGGAGGAGCTGCCCGGGGAAAAGCGAGCGCTGCCCTTACGAGATGCTGCTCTTCAGCTCCTGCAGCAGCGTGCTTGACTCGGTCGTGCTGCCCCGGGAGCTGCTGGGTGACAAACTTCCCTTTTCGGTGGCTCGGGTGCTCAGCTCTTCGTCAGCCATGACATTTGGTTCCTGTTGGGAGGCGAAAAACAAAAAAGTAAATTTAAAAAAAAAAAAAAAGGAAGGAAAAGCCTTCAGTTGTTGAGCCCCCACTGGGCACCTGTAGGGCAAAGCGGGGCGGCTACGGGGCTTGGCGCAGCCCAAAACTCACCCGCCCTCAGCACCCTGGTCCCAAGATGCCCCAGCTCTGCAGGCTGAGCTCCGGCAGCCGGACACAAGCCACCGAAGGACGCAGAAATGGCCCCGGTGGTCTCAGGAGGGGGGGGCTTCGGCAGCAGGGACTGCCACCGGCTCCGGGTACCCCATTCCTGGCAGGGGACAAGGGCGCTGGGGGGGACACCGGAGAGCAGCCCTGGCCCAGCGTGCCCAGGAGGGGACCAGAGGGCAAGTCCCCACAGGCCTGGGGGTGCTGAGGGGGCAGTCCCACGGGTCCTGGGGCACGGGTGCAAGGCCCCAGGGGCGAGAGGGACATGACAACGGGGATGACACGGGCAGCTGGAGGGCAGAAATCCCCGGGGGGTGGGGGGACATGGGGCAGCGGGAGGGCACAGGTCCCCTGGGACAGCGGGAGAGCAGAGGTCCCTAGGGTCGGGGACAGTGGGGGGACAGGTCCCCAGGGAGACGGGGACAGGGACACTGGGAGGACAGAGGTCCCCAGGGACGGGGACAGGTCCCTGGGGGCCGGGGGTGCCCGGGGCTCCGTGACAGCGCTGCCCCGCCGGTGCCGGCTGCCGGGGAGGGGACGGGGGCCAGGGACAGCCGCGTCCCGGGCAGCACCGGGCCGGACCGCCCCACCCCACGCACCCCCCCGCATCCCGACCCGCACCCACCTGCGGGCGGCTACAGCCGGGGCGCGGCCCGCCTCATGCCGGGCCGGGTCGGGCTCCGGTTCGGGCTCCGGTTTGGGCCGGTTCGGGCCGGTTTTGGCCCCGCCACGTGCCGCTGCCCCGCGCGCAACAGGAACCGAAAGTGCTGCGCCCCACCGGGACGCGCCCGCGGGCCCCGCCGGCCGCTTATTTTCTGATTGGCCGCGGCGCCGCCGGTCTGCCCGGATACTGAGCTTTCCTTTAATGCGATTGGCTGCTCCGCCTTTCCTACCCGGATACAAGCGGGATCGGGCTCCTCCGTGGCCGCGCGTGAGCTGAAGTCTGCCTAGTAACAGGCTTCTGATTGGTGGGGCGGGAGGAGGAAGCGCGGCTGTCAGTGAGTCCGGGCGTGCAACGGGGGGGGGGGGGCGGAGCCTACGCTGGCGTGTGCGCGTGCAGCGGGTGTGCGGGCACGTGGGGCGCGGGGTGTGCAGTCCACGTGCAAGGCGTGCGAGGGCGCGCTTGGGCGTGCGCGATGCGTGTGCAGCGGGCGTGCGCGCAGCACACGCACGGTGCGGGTATAAGCGTGCACAGCCCGTGTGTGCGTGCGTGCGTGGGTGCGTACGCAATACGCGTGCAGCGTGTGTGTCCACGCGGGCGGGCGTGTAGCCTGTGGGGAGGCAGGTGGTGTCCGTGCAAGCCCGAGGCTCCCGCTCCCGGCCTATAAACCAGATTTTGCTTTTTTCAGGAGGAAACGTGGTGCTGAGCCAGGCGGCACATGGGGCGCGTCCCGGGGCTGCTCACAAACTTTGTTTTCTGGCTCCTGAAAACAGTTTAAACCCAAGATTTTGAGGCAAGGAGAGTTGCTGCTGCTGCTGCGGGCAACAACCTCTCGGTTTTATTTAAGCAAGCGCAGGATGGGGCGTGGGCGGTTTGCTGAGCGTGTGAGACTCCCGGAGCCTTCGCGCACGGGGATTTTGGGGTGCGGAGAGGCTCTGGGGGCGGCAGGAGGCGGCTAAACCCAAATGTCGGAGGTGCAGTCCCCGCCGGGGTAGCGGATCTCGTGCGCGAGGCAGGGCCCGTCGGGCTCCTGCCCAAAATCCACCAGGAAGCTCCGGTTGGCTGTCAGGCCGCCCCGCTCCGTGTCCACGTCCAGCTGCAGCATGACGGAGCCGTCCCTGTGGAGCGGCGAGAACGGGGAGGCTGGGGGGAGCCAGACCCGCCCTGTGCTGCCCCGGGAGGGGGGGACCTGCCCCTGCCTCCATGGAGCTGCCGAAATTCAGTCCCCGAGCCGCAGGCTCCGCGCCTCCCGCCCGGCGAGCTCGTACCATCACCCTCGTTAGCAGTTTTCTTACTTGATGAGGTCGGGGTAGAACTGCCTGTCCCAAGCGCTGTAGAGGGACGTGGTGACGTACAGCCTCTTCCCGTCCAAGCTGAGCTGGATCATCTGGGGTCCCCCCGACACCCTCCTCCCCTGGGAGCGGGGCAGGGGAGCAGACACGTTGCCGGGGGTCGCTGCTGCCTCCCCCAGCGTGGCAGGGGGGCTGCCACGTCCCTCCCGGGGGATGCGGCAGAGCAGAACCCCGGGGACCGCTGCCCAGCCCTGCCCAGGCCGGGATGTGGGGGATAGGGCCGAGCTCACCTTGATGAAAAACGGGTCTGGCTGGCTCTGCAGCTCTTCATCCCTGCACACCGTCACGGGTCCTCCCTTGGTGATGCTGCCACCCAAAAAGATCTGCAAGAGACCAAAGGTTTGGGTGGCCAAGACAGCGAGGAGGGTCGGATCCCAGCTGTCCCCGAGAGATGGAGGAAAAGCGTCGGGATGCGACCGGGGACCTGCTGCTGCCTCACCTGCCCCACCAGCTTGGGCTTGCGGGTGTCGGAGATGTCGTACTGGCGGATGTCCCCGTGCAGCCAGTTGCTGAAGTACAGGAACCTGTCGTCCAGCGAGATGAGGATGTCGGTGATGAAGCCTTGGGGAGGGTATGACAGAGCTGCAGGAACAGGTGGCAGCGCCGGCAGCGCCCGGGGGAGCTGGGGAGCACCTCGGGGCCCGTCTCTGCGGGGACGCACTGACCTGGCATGTCCGGGAGGAGCCATCCCTCCACCTTCTTGCTGGGGACTTGGATCACCTTCTCGGCCGCCCAGTCTCCTCGCTGCAGCAGGTGAGGGACAGAGAGCGGCCCCGGGGGGCTCAGCGTGCGCGGCAGAGTCAGGATATGGCCCGATGCTGGGCGGATGCCGCGTGTGCACATCCACCACCTCTAGTCTCTAGGGCTGCAGCCCAGCTACTTTGCCAGCACCTCTGGCTCTGCGGAGCCACAGGGAAGATGGGCTCTGAGACCCGAGGAAGGGCTTTGGGGGCCAAAAACTTGGCTAATTTTCCAGCTAGATTAGCTGGTTTGGTGAAAGATGTTCTGTCTCCTCACCCAGTTTGTCATTACGCACAACAGACACCAAGAAGACTATCACTTGGGCCGTTCTAAATCCACAACAAAGGCGTAAATAGATCTCCTTTAAATGAAATCATTTCAGTCTAAACTGCTGCCAGTCAGAACGAGTCCTCTGGGGAAATCGCCCCAAGCCAGCTCTGGGTGCGGAGGGGTGGCTGCGCGGGGCGGGGAGGCGGCGCGTGCACTGGTGGGCACTGGCGCCGGGCTGGGAGGGTGGTGGGGGATGCGGGAAGCGGGATGCTGCACAGGGTCATGCAGCTTGGTCAACCAAGGGGCAGCACCCCCTCTGCCCTGGCCCCGGGGGAGCGCGTACCTCGGTCCTGTAGAAGCGGTGGATGGCACTGCTGATGGTGCAGCCCACGTAGCCCTCGGCGGCGGCGGGGTTGTGGAGGAAGCGGATCTCCAGGGGGGCCGCGTCCTCGCCCACGTCGATGGCCTGGACGTAGGTGTGAGTGGTCCAGTCCCACACGTTGAGGCGGCGTCCATAGCGCCCTGGGAGGGGGGTCGGGGGGGGTCAGAGGGGATGCTGAGGGGTGCAGGGTCTCAAGCAGTTGTGCCACGGGTTCAGGTGAGTCCTCAGCCCCTGTGGAAGTGACTCCCCGGTCTCTGCACCAGCACATGCCGGTTGCTTTGGACCTTGGCAAAATCCATGGGAAGATGCTGAGCATCCAGTGGGACCGTCTCGCTAGGATGGGGCTGGGAAGGGCAGTGGAACCTCGGAGGGGGAGCTGGGCTGAGATGGGGCTTCATCCTTCATCCCTGTGGCCAAAATCCCACCCCACGTATGCCTCAACAGCGGCATTTATGGACTGCCTTGAGTTGAGCTTCTGGTGCTTGCATCTAAAGAATGTTCACAGTAAATGAGCTGGACTTGCCTTTTTTAAACCCGTGGAATCTCTAGGGACTGGCGTGAAATTCATTTTGCAAGCAAAGTGTCTTGGACAGTTTTATCTATGCATATTAGATGCCAGCTCTCACTAGCAATGGAAGAGGGTTGAAATTTGGCCTTCTTGCAGTCCTGCTCAGCATCTCTCTCCCGGAGTATTTAACCAGCTGTTTTCTCACCTTTCTTCAGATCATTTGGGTCAAATCCATATCCCAGGCATTTTGGGATTCCCCACTCAGTGCTGATCAGGACATTATGGCGTGGCTGGTACCAGAAGTCATAACCCATTGGGGGCGTTTTGTCCCCTTTCTCCCAGTTCCCCTTGATCTCAAAGGTCTCTCCATCCAGCAGAATAAAGCCGCCTGATGCAAAAACAAAACCACGTCAGTAGTGAGGAAATCATCGTACATGTTATAAAACAAGCAGCAACAGACAGATCAGCCCGCTGCAGCCTGGGCTGCTGAACGGGCTGGGAGACCTGGATGAAGCCTCCAGGACAGCTCTGGGATTGGGGATGTTCCTCCTGTCCCAGCACCCTCTCCCTGGGGCACGGGGGTACCTTTCCCGCTGCCAGCCGGGTCTCCGAGGGTGCTGATCATGATTTCACCGCTGCCCAGGCAGTGGGAGGTGTGGGGGTAGCCCAGGCTGCACTTCCAGAAGACGTCCTCTGAATTAATAACCTGCCGGGAGTTCACAGGCACCGTCACGTCCCCCTGTGCCGGGCTGTCCCCGGCGAGCAGCGTGGACGCAGGTTCACAAGCCTGGTGTTACCCCACGGGGCAGCCGGGCAGCTCCCGCCTGACCTCCGGATGGGGCTTGCTGTGCAGCCAGAGGCCACAGTCCCGGTCCTTTAGCCTTTAATGTGTGTCAGCACCACCTCCCCGGTACCTTGAAAAGCCTGGGAGCTCGCAGGTCGGTCCCCACGTCCACCACGTAGATGCGGGAGGAGATGAAGCTGGGGAGGATCAGGCGGTTCCGCTTCTTGGTGGCATCCCCGAAGCAGCTGCTGCAGGCGTTCCAGCCCGAGTGGTGCAGCTCGTCCCCCAGGTTGGGCATGGGCAGGCGGTGGATCACCTGCAAAGTGCCAGCCCCTGCTGACGCTGGTCTTTCCTCTGCCAAGTGCAGGCTCGGAGGCAGACCGGGGAGCCCAGCACCTCGCAGACCCCACTGCAGGGTCGGGACGCCTCAGGCGAGCCTCAGCCCGCGCTGGGGAGCGGTGGGGCACAAGGGATCCCAAGGAGGGGGTGGGAAGTGGGTTTTACACGTATTTTGTAAGCACAAGAAGGCTCAGAGTCTTGGGGAGAACTGGACAGGCATCAGCTTTCAGGACTGAGCCAGCAGCTTTGGGGAGCACGAAGGACAAGCACTGAGCTGTTCCCCAGGACAGTTTAGTAGCAAGATAAAGTGTGTGGAACCTGGCAGTAGTGTGGAGATTTAGGGTTGACATCCACAGTGGCCAGAAAGTCGGGTTTCTTCCTCCCAGTGTTCCTGTAGATGCAGGGTACGTACACGATCTCCTCCCGGGGACCTTTCAAGACAGAAACGTTGCATGAGCATCAGCAGGAACCACCTCTGACAGAATAAAAACCTTGCAGGGGTCTCTGGTCAGCCCAGATGTCCTTCCTGGGGAGCCGACGTGTTCCCCCATACATGTGGGGCAGTTGGATCTCCACCTCTCGCCATGCCGGAGGCACTAGGCTGGGCTCTGTTTGGAGGGGGCTGCCCTGCAGGGGCTTGGCCTTAGTCAGACCCCTTGCCCTGGGAAGGCATCTCTGGACCTCAGAGTCCCTAAGGAAGTCCATGGCTTTGGGATCACCCATGCCTGCAAGGACAGCCCAGCCCTCCCCCAGTCCTATCAGTCTCGTGAATCAAACC